AGTTTGCTGGATGCACCATCTTTGCGTATATTTTTTTTTAGATCGGGATGACTTAGGATGTCCTTCCCCACAGACGGCGCCAAATGTTTATGCAGGAATCTGCACAACGGTTCTTCACGAATCGAGCTCGAACCCGGTCTCCAGTTCTGACCTGAACAGTCGAGTGGACCTGCATAAGAGGGTAAGCACTCCGACGATCAAGTCAGTATAGATCGGACTCCTTATTTAGTTCGAGGTGAGATTCGATACCTGAGCGTGAAATGAACTCTTCTATTTATAGGTAGTGGATCCGACAGTACACACGACCGGCGGTTACATGTCTTTTTCTCATATCGGGCCTGTCGGGTTCCGTGCAGGTCGGACCCTAGTCAGGTCGAACTTTGGTGCCCACACTTAGTCTTTTACAGCGGACAAACTTGGTCTCCTCGGCGGGGCCGAGGTGGACCTAAGCAATCCTTTTTATTCGGTTTCTTCAAACACTAATAAGGGTCCTCCATGTGTCCCGGGTGTGTTTACCCCCAAACAGCGTGTTTGTGGTGAATTGTTGGCATGAACTCTTCTAGACCTTTGGTATGAGTTGATGCTTTCCAAATATGGCTCAGGACGCTCTCCTCCAGCTTATCCAAGGTGTTCACCTGAAGAAGCAGGCTAAGGTCCTATGAAATTTTGGGGTGGTTGCTCTAGTGCGGAGAATTTGGTTTGAGAGGAACAAGCGAACTTTTCAAGGAGAAGAAACTAATAGGCAATTGTTCTGGGAAGCTGTAAAAAATTTTGTTGCTTCATGAGATGCTAGTACAAAAATTTTTGTAATTATAGTATCTCTCTAATCTATGCTAATTGGAACCCTTTTCGTAATCCCATGGTCTGAGGGGATACCTCATTTCCCTCCTTTTTGTACTGCCTCTTTTGATAATGAAATGTTCTTTCTTATAAAAAAAAAAAGAGATAGAAACATTATAAAAGGGAAGAAGGAGAAGTTAAGCAACCTACATTTTGAAGTATGTTCTTCATCGTAGTTCAACGACACTACCAGAATGTCTTCCCCGCTATTATCTGGGCAAGAATCGGTTTGTAGGAACCATCTTTCTGAAAGAGAGAGAATTTGGATTTGAGAGAGAGAGAGCTAATGGAGAGAAAATGATTTTGTGCCAAAATCACTAAAACCCAACAATCTCTACAAAATGCAACTTTTGCATTTTATAGAGATGAAGAAGAGTTGAGAGGAAGTAACCTCTCTCACCCACCAACCTCCCACTACCTTGTAATATGCAAGGAAGTGGTTGGTTTAATTGAATTAAAGTTAGTTTAATTTTAATTTAATTAAATAATTAGTCATTTATAATACTTATTAATGATAATAATTAAATATAGCTTTATTTGACCTATAGTTTTAATATGGATCCAATTTATATATTTAATTATAGCTTTATTTGAATCATATTCAAATGTATATCTCTTTTATAACCTATATTTTTAATGTGAATCTCATTCACATTCAATTTAACCTATGGTTTTAATATGAATCCAATTCATATTAATTATTATTGGAATCTTATTAAAATACAACTCTCATAATATATAGTTCAATTATGAATGTATTTCATAATTAACTTTATATTATAACGTATCTATATACATTATGTTTGTTGATGGCGAATTCTGATCAGAGGTCATGTGTTCCTCAGACGAACAGCTCGACTAGTGGACAAGGGAACCTGAAACCAAAGAACTCAACTCTAGTGTAGTGTCCTACCTAAAACACTCTGACGATCAAGTTAGTAATCGGAATAAGAAATAGGAAAAATACACCTTAAGTATGAGTGACTGGTTTTTCACTTGCTTGGTGAAGATGAGGGTTTTTCCTTTTATAGCCTTGGAAGGCCGATCAGGAAGGACGACGGTTAGATGTGACAGGGACGTGTCGTGCTGTAGGGAGAGGATCATGGAGCATGCTCTAAACAGCTGC